TGATCTACAGCCAATTTTATGGAGTATGGGGGTAGATTTCATGTCAAATGGCATGAAAATAGGCAACTTCTTGGGGACAAAGAAACCAACAGTGCTAGAGTAGCCAAACTGAAGACTTGAGGAATCTCAAACCCATGACTGCTTTCCCCCTTATATAGTTATCTACAATAGTTAAACCTATAGAGGCAGAGAATACAATAGCGGTTTCCAGGGGATTGGGGTGGGGGAAAATGAGTAGAAAATGAGTACAAAGTTTCAGTTATGCTAGATGAATAAATTCTAGAGATCTGTTATACAACATAGTGCCTGTAGTTAACTGCATAATATCGTACTGGGGCTCAAAAACCAATACTCCCAAATAAGGTGCTTTGACATGCTGAACCGAGGAAGAAGCCTCAAGGTCTCTCTGACCTTCCCCTCCCACCTCCTGTCAATCAATCTTCTGTCTCTCCCAAAGCACAGAATTAAGTTGTTCTCTGAAGTTCCCTTATCTATCTAAAGTCTGGACACACCCAAGAAGAAAATAATTACTTCCAGTCTCATCCCTGAGTTTTTATTAATGAAACTCATATTGCAGGAAGAAAGACTGAAGTCTGTCAATATACCTAGACAGATTTTTGTCACAAAAAATTGTCTGCTCTGTGGGCCCACCAGACTTTGTCTCAGGATGTTTCTTCAAGCCCATTGAACTCCCCTAAAAATTATTTATTAACAACCTAAAATCATCCATACTTTCCCATGTCCCTTTCTCCTGAAAAGAAGGGTACATAAGCATCTGTACCTCATTGTGCAGTGGGGTAATTGCTTCATGATTTTCCCTTGTGCATGCTAATAAATGTGTGTAAAATTTTGATAAATGTGAGAAAAAATATTATGTGACTGGTCTTGGTTGTAATGACTGTGGTGTACTTTTTGGTATGATTATTCATATTGTTTGATCCCATTCCTCCCAGATATACTCTTTGCCTTTATTTTTGTCTTTCTATGTTGTTTTGTCATAAAGAAAGTTACCATAGGTTAGAAGGGCAGTGCCCAACCCCTGGGCCACAGACCAGTCCCAGTCCATGGCCCCTTAGGAATTGGGACACACAGCAGGAGGTGAGCAGTGGGTGATCAAAGCTTCATCTGTATTTACAACCACTCCCCATCACTTGCTATCCCACCCATCCCCTGGTGTGTGGAAAAAGACAGTGAAAACACAACCTGTATTATGTAAGAAGATATTTGTAATATGAATATCTAACAAAGAACTTAAACTATATAGTGTGATGACAAATTAATTTTGGGTCAACTTGTCTAAGCTATGTCTAAGCTATTACTCAAACACAAGTCTAGATGTTGCTGTAAAGATATTTGGTAGATGTAAGTAACATGGTTAACTTTAAACAAAAGAGATTAACATAGATAATGTGGATGGGCCTCATCTGATAGAGTGAAAGCCTTAAAAGCAAAAACTGAGGTTTCCCAGAGAAAAAGGAATTTTGCCTCAAGACAGTAATATAGAAATTCTGAGTTTCTAGCCCAATGGCCTTTCAACAGATCAGACTTGCCAGCCCTCACATTTGCATGAGATCTTACCTTAAAATAAACCTCTTTCTCAATAGATACATGATAAATATATAAATACAGAGATAAGTGTACACACACACATATCCTATTGATTTTGTTTCTCTGGAGAACCTGACTGCTGCAATAAGGAACTCCTAAAAATAAGTAAGAAAATTACAGAGAACTTTATAGAAAAAAAGGACAAGGGCTTGATTGAATGAGCACTTCACAAAAGAATGTCTGTGAATCCTCCTTTCTCCACATGTCACCACTGAGGCAAATGGGGGCCCCACAGTCTTGTTCACAATTGCTTTATTTTTATATTTTCTCATCATGTATGCATATAATATCCATGTTAGTTGTTTTTCCTGCATGAAAGTTTTGAATGTCATTGTGATTTATCCTTAAATCCCATAACATTTTAGAGACATCCAAGAAGGCTAATGGTTGGTCAATAAACATATAACAAGTATTCAACTTCATTTGTTTTCGTGGAAATGCTAATTGAAACAATATATGAAGCCATGATACGTCCATGAAAATGACTAAAGTGAGAAATGTAGACAATGCCAAGTGTTACTGAAAATGTGAGGCGATTTGTTTCCCCAATTACTGGTGGTATGAGTGTGAACTGATACAACCAATTTGAAAACCATTGATAGTATTTACTGAAGTTACACATATTCACTCTCTATGATCCAGCAACTCTACTTCTATTAATAGACCCAAAAGAAATAAAAACAGATACTATAATATTCTTAGCAGTACTATTTGTAATATTCCAAGATGGAAAGAACCTAAATGTCCATCAGTAGTAGAGTGGATAAAAATATGGATACATTTTCATACAATAAAATATTATTCAACAACCTATAACTACAGAATCAAACAACCTATAACTACACAAATTGCATGAATGAATCTTAGAAACATAATGTTTGAACAAATCAAACTTGACATAAAAGCGTATGTGATTATTAAAACAGATCAAATGCAAGCAATAAGGTTAGAAATAAGGATAGTCATTGTCTCCAAATGAGGTACTAGAGACTGATATGTGCAAGGGAGGAACTTCTGGGATGCTAGATATATTTTTTATCTTAAGCTAGTGTGGTGATAACTTTGGTGTGTACACTTTGTGTGATATATTTATTATTTCATGCATTTGTCTTTATGTATATTATTAATTGAAATGCCTCCTTAAAACAGTCCAACATAAATTGTTTACTTATGTATGTTAAATTTAATCTTCACTCTCTATAATGTTTAAAGAGCATTAAAGTATGCTAATCACAAAACCATAGATGCCAGGGGATAACTAGCATTTGACATATACTAATTATGAATCCACAATTAGTGTGGATTGTTAGCATTACAGTTACTGTAATCAGAAATATACACCCAGAAAATGGCAAAGTATATTGATTGAGTTCTGTTTTACACTAAAATTGACATAAGCAATGACATCTATGATACCACAAGCTATTAGTGAAATTAGTGGTATTTAAGATTTGCGTTTGGATAGGAACATTTTACAGACAGTCATGCACATATGAATGACCTATAAAAAATTAAGCAAGAGCAGCCAGTGCTGTCTCTGAAGCACTGTTTACTTCTGTGTTGCCCCCACTTTACATAGAATTCTGCTGATCTGACTATATAGTGTTAGCTGATTCTTTAAGGAGAATATCATTTTGTTTGCCTCTAGTCAACCATGTATTCAAGGTATTTGTCAAAATTATAAATATTATATTATAAGAACAAGTGATGTATAGTGGCTTATGTACTTTCTTGCTAATAAATTTTGTACCATTGGTAGAATGTGGTCTATAATTATTGACTTTCATTTTAACATATCATCAGGTAATAAGATTATTGTTGCAGGGAACTATAAGGTAATGATAGCTGCTATAATGGATAAACTTTCAAATTCCAGTGAGTAAACACAACAGAGCTTTATTTGTAACTGAAGACAATGGAGTTTCTACCACCTTTAACATGTGGCTTCCAAGGTTGCTGTGGATACAACATCAAAGAAAAAGAAAAGGTGTGACAGAGTGTACGGAAGTCTTTTAGGAGATAGACTTAGAAGTAGAATACATTGATTTTGTCCATTATACCATTGATTAGAATATAGTCACTTGGACACATATGAATCAAGGAGAAGACAAAATATAATCCCATGCTGGACAATACTACATACCATAAAGGAAAGCAAAATTCTTGATACAAAGATATATATCTCTGCTCTGTTATGTCCTCTGAACACCTGATGTCATTATAGTCTCTTCTTCCAACATCTCTTTCTCTTTCTCTCATTCTCAAGAGAAAAAACTTCTTAAATCCCTCTAGTTTCTGTTTATTTGTTCAATCAGAGGTGGCTAAAATTTGTTGAAGACTTATATAAGAAGTTTTTTGTCATCTTTTGTAACACAAATTCCTTAACAATTTAGTAGGATTGTTATCTGTTTTCTTTCTATGAAATTCATGCACCAGTAAGACACAGAAAGTTTTTTTCTGAGGCATAATTTTCAAATCTTATGTGTTACATTGCTTTCCTAATCTCAATATCTCCTTATGACTTAATGGCAGCTATTTTTTTAACTCTCTAAAATAATAGGTGGAAAAACCCAACTTTAGATTTTGCCACAAGACTCTTACTGGGCCTTGGAGTTCAGACATTTCATACTCATAGCTTAATCTTTGTGTGTGTGCATGTACATGCACAGGTATATTTTAACAGACTTTATTTTAAATTAATTCAGAGTTTCAACATATAACTCATGCTAAGAAGAAGAAAGAGGGTTAGGAATCACATTTGGGTTCAGTCTTAGAAGTAGGATATTTCATTTCTTCTCTCAACTCACGGGCCCAAATGTACACGCATGGCCCAGCAGACACAAGAGTACGTGACATGTAGACAAGTCAAGCTCCACCTAGGGAAGTGGAGCACAATTCTTTGCTCTACAGCCAGAAACTTCCCCTCCAAAACCCTACTCACATCTAACTCCCAGAGATCATTAAGAGCTGCCAAAAATACCTTAATAATTCATCATCAGTCAAATAAGATGAAATGAAGGGTAAGCTAAGTGCTTGAAGTAAATGTTGTGTGTTCTTATCTGTAAGCTGGAGAAATGGCAAGACATTGTTGGCTCAATGCTTTCAGCATCACAAAACAAAAGGAGGAATATGAGAGGAGTAATGAGTTGCACCAAATATGATATAAAAACTAACACATTGCTTAGAAGTATAACTCTTTCTAAACTGAGTTCAGATTACAATTTTATCATAAAACTTCATTTAAAAAATGCTTCTACAGTATATAGGAACTTACTTTTTTTTTTGAGACAGGGACTCTGCTGTCTGAGCTGGAGTGCAGGGGTGTCATCATAATTCACTGCAACCTCAAACTCCCAGGCTCAAGAGATCCTCCTGGCTCAGCCCCCCATGTAGCTGACACTACAGGCATGTGCCACTATATCCAGCTATGTTGCATTTTGTTTTTAGTGTCTCCAGTGTAGGCCTGCTGCAAAATAGCATTAATAAAAGCAATGAAAAATACAGTGAGAGAAAGACTGACTGCTGATGTTCTGTCTTTGTACAATGGAAAATATTCAACACAGAGAATTGGAATACAGACCTTTCATGAGTCCTCTATAAATTTTCTTTTTTAAAAAAATTAAATAATACTAGTGGCAGCAAATTTGAAGTGATTGCCATTTAATAACTGAAATATAGACAGATTATCTGCTCTTAAGTTCAAATATGGGTTAGAAGTCAGTTGAGCTGGAAGAGGATAAACATTTTCTTTAGGATGTCGAGTATTTTAAAGGGGATGTTATTTAAATAGAAAATCTTTGCCCTTCTGTGTAAAGTTGGGCCAAATAAATGTTCTAAATTGAAAATGTGTTACTCTCCCCTGCCCAAAGAAAGATAGAATTATTTAGGTCCCAATAGTTTCTGTCATAGAGCCTGGCTATAAAATTGTTAGGTTGAAAAAAATCTCAAAATATGTATTATGAAGGACCCATGGAATATCATTATGAATACTGAATTCTTCCAGTTCAGACCATTGTTTTTTCCTAAGCCATTAAGTCATAGAAATTCAAAATATTTGAAAATATCAGGGTTTTGAAATATTCAGGCATTGTACACATAGGTTTGCGGTCCAAATAAAATCCTTCTTTTTAACACAGGTAATCATTCAAAGAAATTGTTTGAAAAACACTGTCCTATTTAACTAAAGGAACTTATTTCTTCCAAAGTGGTTTTTGTTTTGTCAATTAAATGTTGGAGAACATATTTCAAAGTGATGTCTTTATCTATTTACTCTCTATCATTACATAGCAGAATGAAATTGTCCATGAAGTTATTAGTAGATGGTGAGAGAAAAACCATATCATTGTTATATAAAAATATGTAGATATATTTTGCCATGTTAAATAAGAAAGTGAGGTAAACAAAATTTCCATAAGCCACGCAAGTGCAAAAGCAGTGTGAAGGCTCGGGGAAAGGTAGCACTGGCATCACCAATTTGCATTCTAGAAATTATAACTTGGTTAATGTTGAGATTCTTCATACTGATTCTGATGATCCTGGAAGATTTTAGGTACAGTTCTGTAAGATAGCCAACAGCTATATCGAGTTCTTACAGTTTGACCTATTAATGATTCCTGTACATTAAGTCACATAGGTCAATAAGAACTATCAATGGTTTTATGCTATTCCTAATAGATTTCTGCATTAGGTGACATCAAGAATAAAAACGATCAATAGCTGAGAACTCTGGCAACACTCTGTGTAATCCTTTGTTAGATGCTAGCTTTAGAAGTCTTTTCAAATTCTCAAGAAAAAAATAGCTAGGCATAGATTATAGATATATATTAATTCATTTTGCTCTTGTGTTTGTTCACTCAGCAAAAATATTATTGAGTTGAGTCCCAACAACATTTATACACTGCTATAGGATCTGGGATACATCAGTGCAGAACCATCTCTTACGAAGCAACAAAAATAGCCACCTGGCCGAGCACGGTGGCTCAGGCCTGTAATCCTAGCACTCTGGGAGGTCAAGGCAGGAGGATCGTTTGAGTTCAGGAGTTCGAGACCAGCCTGAGCAAAAACGAGACCCCATCTCTACTAAAAATAGAAAGAAATTAATTGTCCAACTAAAAATATATGGAAAAGATTAGGCGGGCATGGTGGCGCATGCCTGTAGTCCCAGCTACTCGGGACGCTGAGGCAGAAGGATTGCTTGAGCCCAGGAGTTTGACGTTGCTGTGAGCTAGGCTGGTGCCGGGGTGCTCTAGCCTGGGCAACAGAGTGAGATTCTATCTCAAAATAAATAAATAAAAATATAAAAAGAAATAGCCACCTAGCTGGCCTCTGTTTTTATTCTTACTCTCCAAATATTTGTTTCCCATATGAAAGCTAAAATAATCTTTTAGTAAGTAAGCCAGATTACGTCATTTCTATCCTCAAAATTTTCAAAATATTTTCAGTCAGATTCAGACTAAAATCTAATACCTAACCATTGCCAGCATAGAAAATCTATGCTGGCAATGGTTAGGTATCAGCTATTTTTTTCTTGACTGACCCTTTTCTATTTCTTTGACTTCATCTTTGACCACCCTTACTGATTCTCTCTGCTCTAGTGACACTGACACACCTCCAATTCTTAGAATTTTCCAGCTATGTTCTCTTGTCAAGGCCTTTGCAAATGCAGTTCCCTCAGCATGGAACTCTTTTCCCAAATGTCCTGACATAGCTCACTCTTTCATTTCATCCTAATTTTTTCCTCTGATGTCATCAATCTCATTATACCCTTCCCAGACATTTTCATAAATAAAAGAAATTTGTTTTCCTAGTTAGTCTTCATCCTCTTACCCTGCTTCATTTTTCTTCACTGCATTTATCATTAACTGAAGTTATATAAATATGCATTTCTTTTATTCTATCTTTTCTCTAGAATGTACCCTCCATGAGGTTAGGAACATTAACAACTTTATTCTCTGAATAATTCCTCTAATGCGGCCTATAATTTAACAGAATTTCTTTTTGTTGTGGTTGTTGTAGCATTGAATAAATGAATAAATTAAAATAAAAAATGAAATGCCTAGTAGTAGGTGTATAGAAATTAAATGAGATAGCATTTATACTATACAATAGCATTAATAGACTTACTGTTATTAAATATTATGAATGTTATATAAGAAAGTTAAAGACACTATAATGAGGGAGTCTAATTTATATTGATGAGAGAAGTTCTATCATAAGGTATGGTAAGAAGTGGATATTTAAACAGCTACCTGAATGAGTAGGGATTATTTGGCAAAAAGAGAAAGGTAGGAAAAGTAGAAGCCTATGCAGAAATTCTGAGGCTCCAAAAAGCTCATTGAAGGAAGATCTTCAATAATGTGGGGGAAGATTAGATAGTCAAAAAAAAATTAAACCAAAACACATTAAAATATCAGAATACATAAAAAATAACAAGGAAAGGAGCTTTAGTAGCATAATCTATCAAACATAATGGATTCTATATAAATATTTGCTGATGACTTAGGGGAATTAAACTAAAATTATACATGACTTAATCCTCAATAGAGATTTTTTAAACTTTTTTTGAGGGGATGCATTGCCAAATGTTTATATATATATTTTTATATATGTATATATATTTCTAATTGCAAAACTAATATATGTCTAATGTAAATCATTTGGAAAATGTTAGAAAAGCCCAAGAAATAATAAAATAATATTTTCTATAATTCATAGTCAATTTAAATCACTATTTTCTTGGAACTTTGGAATGTATTATTTCACTCTTTTTAGATACTTATCTCTAAATATCTATTGATATAATTATAAAAAGCAATAAATATATAAATAAACTTGTGTTATAAAAGTATATAAATTATTTCTGCATTTTGAAACAGTTTTAATTATTGTGATATGTTAAAACAGTTTTATGTCAAAAACATTCTCATATAAAATATAGTTTAATGACATATGGTGTTATATCATATTGCATGACACATAATTTTAACCAGTGTCCTTTTAAAGATTTGATTATTTATATTTTTCCCATGTGAAGCATAGAAAAAGTTTGCTTTAAAAATATACCTTAAATATATTAATTAAATACTATACTAAACTTTCTATGTATATATCTGATTATATTTTTATAATAAATACTTATAAATGAAACCATTGAATCCAAATATGAATAGCATAAAAATTCCAATACAAGCTTTCTCCCATACAAAAAATTGTCACAATGGAGGGGACTTAAAATTGATTATTATACAATGCATCACATACACTTTTTTTGTAGCACAAACATAGCCTAGATTTAGTAATCATCAGGAACTTAACACTGTCAAAAAAACCATTGCTTGAACAACATGTATTGTATATTATAACTATGTGGGATAAGGGCTATAAAAATCTTAAGGATGAATATTAACTGCTCTGTCAATGTTAATGTTGATGAAATAGGAAAAGACAGATTTGAAGAAAAAGCAAAATGTTATAAAACTCTAAATATGCTCAGTGATGCTTAAACTTATAGCAATAAACTTAAAGTATAAAAAGTACATTTATTGTTGAAATTCCTGGAAGAAAAATAACTGTGTTTGCTATGTTATAGCATAAAAATAATAGTTTCACTGAGGAGAAAATTGTAACTAAAAATTCCAAAACTTTCTCATTCTTAACCTTTTTTACCCATCTGATTTTTTTTGCATCAGGGATTTTATAATAAAAAAAATTATTTAGAAATATAATTTGCATTATAAAGAAAAACTGTGCTTATTCCCACAGCAATTTTACAAATATGGGAACCTAATTATACTCTTATTACCAATACTGAAATGAGCCATTCATCTGCATTTTTGTTTATCTGAATATCATTTTGAGAATATTAAATGTTGAAAATATCTGTAATCTAATTTGCATTTCCTTGATTACTGAGGTACAACTTTTTCCTTATATGCATGAGCTATTGTCACCTATGCTTTTGTAAATAAATTATACTATTCATAAAATTTATCCAATTTTCTGTTGTTACTTTTTAAGAATCATTTTATCCACATCTATTATTTAGACTAGAGAAAAATGCAAAAAAGTAGCAAACAAACGATATGTTATTAGCAAATATGGAAGCACTTAATATCAACAGTATTAAAAACAATTTTATAGAAAATATGTTTGACTTTAAATTATGATTTGCTAGACAATAAATATATACTTTTATGGATATTTATTTCTGCCTGATGTCAGGCATGATTAAAAATATGTACTTCAGAAATGATGTCTGCAAGATGTCAGAATAAGAAAGCACTGAACTCTACTTCCCCCTCAGATATGCTGATTCAACATGAATATTTTGTTGATCCTATTTATGAGAAATCCAAAAATCAGTTTAGAAGTTTCTGTACCCCAAGCAAATGAGAAACTAGGCATTTCAGAACTCTTATGAAAAATAAAGTCACCCTTTTGTCATAATACCCACACATGGTACAATACCATATGATCAGGAAGGAACCCCTGATTCTAGCTTCTCTCTCTGGAACAAAAGAATTAGACTGCACATCTAGTGTCCCAATTTTTCTGAGTGTTACCTGAAAGACTGTCTTCAGTCTCACTTGTCTCAGAGAGCTGACAGGAACTGGAATATGGTATTGCCCTGGTAGGTACAGAGAATAAAATTCTTTCATTTAGTGTGCAGGCACTCACCACAGTTCCTCCCCCTGACTAAACACAGAACAAGCAGGCAAAGAATCCCAGCTACCAGTTTCTCCCTGGAGAGGAAAAGAGTTGAAGCACACATACAATGTGCCAACTTCTCTGGCAGCTCTCCAAAGGATTGACTTCTGTCCCACCTGTCTAGGAATGCTAACAGGACCTGACATACTCTAGATGCCTGGGAGTTTCTAATGATAAAGACAACAGTTTGCACTAGTACAAAGGTTTGAGTGGTCAGATTGATTGGTGAAGTTCTTCTATAAAGATTAATAAGCAAGTACTGTAAGAGGTAGCAGTGTCGTCTATGTTCAACACAAAGAGGAAAACATGAAGAAACAGAAAAACTAGATACAAACAAAGGAACTAGATAAAACTCTAGAATTGATCCCAATGAAATAGAGATATATGAATTACCTAACAGATAATTGAAAATAACCATCATTAAAATGCTTAACTGGCTGAGGAAAACAAAACAAATGCAAAATGAGAATTTTGTTAAAGAGATAGAAAATGTAAAAAGGAACCAACAGAAATCTTAGAGCTAAACAATATAATAGTTGAATAAAAAAATTCAACAGAGGTCTTCAACAGCAGACTAGAGCAAGCATAAGAAAGAATAAGTTAACTTAAAGATAGGTAATTTGAAATTTTCCAGTTAGAAGAGGAAAAGAGGGAAGAATAAAAAGATAAAATTGATTTTAAGTAAAAAAAGATCAGAAGAAACAAAGAATGGCACTATAAATGATGATTAAAATGCCAATCTACAAGGACGATATAACAATTACAAATATATATGCAACCAACATCAAAGCACCTAAACATGAAGGAAACACTGACTATATTGAAGGGAAAAATGGGCAGCAATACAATGATAATAGGAATGCAATGACAGTAGAAGACCTCACCATGTTACTTTAAATTAGAACAACCAGATAGAAAATCAACAAAGAAATGCAGATTTAAACTATACTCTAGAACAAAAGGACCTAGCAGACATACACAGAACATTCTACTCAACAGCAGCAGGATACATATGCTTCTCAAGTGAACATATAACATTCTCCAGGATAGATCACATGTTACATTGTAACAAGTTTCAACAAATTTAAGGAAATTGAAATCATAATAAGTACCCTTTCTGATAAAAATGAAATGAAATTAGAAATCAATAAAAGAGAGAAAAAACTGGAAAATTTGCAAATATATGTAAACTAAGCAACACACATTTGAACAACCAAAAAATCAAAAGAGAAATTTGAAAAAATTCTGAGACAAATAAAAATGCAAATACAGTATATCAAACTAATGGGATGCAAAAAAATTATTTCTAAGAAAGAAGCTTATAGCATTAGAAATTTACATTCAAAAAAAGAAAAAACAATTTCAAATAAAAAACCTAACTTTCTATCTCAAGGAATTAGAAAAACAAAAACAAATTAAACCCAAATTAATGCAAGGAAAAGAAAATAAAGATTAAAGCAAAAATGAAAGAGATAAAGAACATAAAAGCAATAGAAAACTCCACAAAACTAAGATTTCGTTTTTGGAAAAGATAAACAAAATGGAAAAATCTTTATATTAACTTAAGAAAGAGTTAAGAAGTCTGAAATAATAAATCATACATGGAAGAGAAGTTATTACAACTGTTGCCACAGTAATAAAATGAATAATAAGAGATATTTATAAACAATTATTCATAAACTTGATAACACAGAAAAAGGTAAAATTCTTAGAAATATACAACCTACAAAACTGAATTATTAAGAATAGAAAATATGAGCAGACAAATAGACTAAGGAGAATTAATCAGTAATTAAAAACCTCTCAACAAAGAAAAGTTCAGGACTTGATGGCTTCACTAGCAAATTCTACCAAACACTTAAAATTATAATTAATACCAATCCTTCTGAAACTCTCCCAGAATTTGAAGAGAAGGAACCACAATCAAAATTGTTATGAGGCTAGAATTGTTCTGATACTAAAGCCAGACAAAGACACTGCAAGAAAAGAAAACTTTAGGTCAATATACCTAAAAAAATAAATATAATAATCCTCAACACATTACTAGCAAACAAAATTCAGCAGCACATTAAAAGAATCATACATCATAACTATGTGGGATTTATCTATGGTTCAATATATGAAAATCAATTAATTTTTTTTACAGATGATAAGTTTCTATACATAGAAAACCCTAAGGCCATTACAAAAAAAAAGTTAGAATTTTTAAACTCAATAATGTTTTAAGATACAAAATCAATATGCAAAAATCAGCTGTGTTTCTATACATTAATATCTGTCTGAAAAAGAAATTAGGAAAATAATCCCTTTTACAAAAGCACCAAAAACAAAAAAACAGAAATAAACTTAACTGAGAAAGTAAAAGACAGATTCACTTAAAACTAGAAAAAAAAAAAAAAGATGAAAGAAGATGTAAACACATGGGAAAACATTCCATTTTCATGGATTACAAGATAAAGTATTGTTAAAATATCCATACTACCTCAAATGATCTACAGATTAAATGCAATCCCTATAAAATTCCCAGTGGCATTTTTATAGAAATAAAAAAACGATTCTACAATTTGCATAAGACAATGAAAGACCCCAAATAATCAAAACAATTTTGAAAAAGAACAAATCTGAAGGTATCCCACTTCCAGATTACAAATTATATTACAAAGCTATAATGACTAATTATCTTAATTAATCTGGCATAAATACAGACATATAGATCAATGGAACAGAACAGAATGCCCGTAAATAAATCCATGCATATACAGCCAATTGATTTTTTTACATAGTTGTCAAAAATATACAATATGTAAAGGATAGTCTCTTTAACAAATGGTGCCGGGAAAACTGGATATCCACATGCAATACAATGAAATTGGACATTTATGTTACACAATACACAAAAATTAACTGAAAATAAGGATGGACATGCTTGAAGCTTTGACTCAAGGGGGATGGGGGGCAAGGGAAATATATGTAACCTTAACATTTGTACCCCCATGATATACTGGAAAAAATAAAAAAAAATAAAAAATTTGTATATACAAAAAAAAAGTTAGACCTCAAATTATAAAACTTCTACAAGAAAACATAGCATAAAAATTTTTCTACATTGGTTTTGGCAATAATTTTGTTGATGTGACACCAAAATTATAGACAAAATAAAGCAAAAACAGACAAGTGAAACTAAATTAAATTAAACAGCTTATGCTCAGCAAAGGAAACCATCAATAAAGTGAAAGGGCACCCTACCAAATGCTAGAAAATACTTGCAAACCATGTATCTAATGAGTTAATGTTTAAAATTATATAAGGGACTGCTACAGCTCAATAGCAAAAATACTAACAACCCAATTTTTATACAAAACAAACCAGCTATTTGGGAAATTGAGGCAGGAGGATCCCTTGAACCCAAAAGTTCCAGGCTGCAATGAGCTATGAGCATCACTGTACTCCAAGCTGAGTGGCAGAGCGACATTCCATCTCTTAAAAAAATAAATAGATAAAAAATATAAATAAAAAATGGGCTAAGTATTTGAGTAGACATTTCTCAAAAAACATAATAATAATAAACCTATAAATACTCAACAGGTATTAATATGTTCAATGACACCTGCTTCACAAAAATGCAAGTAAAAACTACAATGATATATCACCACACACCTGTTAGGATGACTATTATCAAAAACACAAAATAGAACAAGTGCTGTCAAGGCCGTGGAGAAACTGAAAACCTTATACTTTGTTTATGGGAACTAGAAATGGTACAGTCACAATGGAAACCAATGTGGAGTTTCATCCAAAAAATTAAAATTTGACTATGATCTAGCAGATCCACTTCTGGGTATCTATCTAAGATAATTAAAATCAGGATTTCAAAGAAATTTTAGCACTACCATGTTTATTGCAGTATTGTTTATAACAGTCACGATGAGAAAACAACCTGTCCCCCCACGGAGAGGTGGATTTTTAAAGAAATGTTTTATATAGAGATATACATATATAATATCATATATTTATATATACATAAATACTATATATATTTTTTTTCAGCTTTTTAAAAAAGGAAATTTTGCAATATGTGACAACATGAAAACATGTTGAGAACATTATGCTAAGTGAAATAATCCAGTCAAGGAAAGAAATACAAATACTGCATGATTCCACTTAGATGAAGCCTGTAATATGGTCAAACTCATAGAAACAAAGATTAAAATGGTGGTTGCCAGGGACCAAGGGAGAGGAAAATGAGGAGTTATTGTTCAATAGGTATAAAGTTCCAGCCATACAAGATAAATAAATTCTAGAGATCCACTGTACAACATAGTGCCTTATAGTTATCAATGCAGTAATGTCTCCTTAAAAATTTGTTAAGAGGATAGATGTCATGTTTAGCATTCTTACCATAATAATAATAATAACAAATACTCTAACAATTCCAGGGACATTGAGCAATAACTTGTCTTTCCCATTAGTTTTATTATTATAAGTTCCATTAAGACCATGTCTCTCTCTCTCTCTCTCTCTCTTTGCATTTTTGCAAGAGAAATAAGAAAAAGTATGGCTTTTTTTAAATACAGGCACTCCATTCTAATTGCTTTATAATACCAAGGACCACAGCTATTTTCTCTCATCAGTTGCACACTCATATTGGTATACAGCAACACAGATATAACTATAAATTAATTCACTATTAATTCATGCAGAATTTTACATGTTTCTCAATAACAAATTGAACTTCTAATTAATAATATTGTTGAGTCTCCACAATATCTTTTCCAGGTATCCTAGCTGCTAGATCTCCTATTAAGTGCAGCAAATATATTTATCAATACCTGAAAAAATATGTAGTTTTTATCAAATGTAATACTGAACTGTGATATGAAACCAAGTAGTTGTAAATTAATGTGTTTAAAAACATGTATA